AAGAGAGAAAACAAGTCACCAGGTCTAGTACTTGAAATGTGGTTGGCTATGTGAGAGTCCAACACCTTAACCACCACACCACCTGCCAGCCCTGGAAGATGACATTTCTAAAATAAAAGAATCTATGTGTGTATATGTGTAAGACAGTTGATAAAATAGATTATACAGAGCCTTTCGAAATAATTTTAAAATGAGGATAGCAAATTTATTAAGTAAAAATAAAATAGGTAATTCTCCTAAAGAAACTATGTAATCATAATCAAAATTTTGTAAGCACTGATTATTGGTTTAACTAAAAATTAGTGATAACACCATATAAGAATGATGAGTGGAAATGTTGGGGGATTGGATCTAATTCCTCATTTTATAGCAAGAAATAAATAGATAATATCTAAAATGATCTGTTATAAAATAATGTATGCAGTATATTACATTGAGTAATACTGATATAGCTGGTAAATGGCTTTGGTCTGAAGTATGTAGATATTCTAGATTTGGGGGATTTCCTTAGTGTCTTTCAACTGTTTACAGGGATAATAATAGCACCTACAATACAGGATTACTATGAGGATTCACTGGAATATATGTGAAGTGCTTAACCCAGTGGTTAGCAGACAAGCGCTCTGTATTTTTTTTTTTTTGGAGAGAGGTTTTTTTGCTATAGGGCGCGTGCACTCGCCAGACAGACAGAGAGAGACATAGAGACAGAAAGCGAGAAATCACCCCCCAGGGGGGATGGTCACGCCGCAATCCCTTCTCCATTCTCCTCTCAGGATCTTGGACACGCACGCACACATGCCTGGCGTGAGTTTTAAACCACCGGGTTCGGGACGCGAACCGCGGTCGACTACGTGGGAGTCCAGCGACATAGCCATTACGCTAACTGCTGGTTCCCAAGCGCTCTGTATTTCTTAGGAGAGTGATGACATTTGATGACTGGAAATTTTATTTAGCTATTTCAATACTACTGTTATGTCTCCCCTTTATCTTTTTAATCTTGTTATTTTTTCCCCTTTATTGAAGTTCTTTTAATATTTGATTTGCTACTTAATGTTATCTGCTGTCTCTTATTGTCCTTCTTCTCACTTAGACTTTTTCTTCCTGGAAAGCCTGACCTTCGACTAGATGGAAGTAACATTCGAAGATGTGGCTGTTATTTTTTCTTGGGAAGAGTGGAAATTTCTGGATTATTTTCAAAAAAAGCTCTACAGGGAAGTCATGTGGGAGAACTACACAAATGTCATGTCAGTAGGTAAAGTTATCCCAGCTCATAGAAAATAAATTTAGTGTCTTCTAAAACCAGTTTTGTTGAGTATGTTGTATAACATACTACTCCAAACTTAGTGACTTAAAACAAACATTATTTTATTTCATGAGTCTTATTGGTTTGATGGATCTTCTGTAATGGAGTAATGTGATTGAGGCTGAATGATTTAGATGAGGCTGACTGACCTAACTTTCATGGCTGACAGCTCAATATTCCTGGCAAATTGGGAATATGTTGACCATATGACCCCTCAAACAAGCTAGCCCAGGCTCATTTACAAGGTTGTGGTCACAGGATATTCAAAAGCAGTAAGAGAGAGGATTCTTTTCAAGTCTCTGCTTATTTCACTTTTAGTGTTATTCCAGTGATCAAAGCAAACTCTATAGCCACCCATAGAGATAGTGTCAAAAGAGAATGCATAAAGATACAGATAAAATGGAGTTAGTGAGCCACTTTTCCCACACAGTCATTTTACTACACTCTTCTAGAACAGAAATTATCTCATAATAATGCCCAAAATAATCTAATTAAATCTGTCTTTAAGACTATTTCCATGAAATAGTTGGCCTTCCTTTTATACTTATAACAGTATCTAATAAATAGGACATGTTCAAGATATCTTTGTGAAATGAATGAATAAATGAATGAATGAGCGAATGAATGAATGTATACACAAATGGACAAAGGAAATGAATTTCAGATGCAGATAGAGAAGCCAAATTCATAACCCTTGTTTTCCACCCCATCTATATATAAATGCCTATCATTCCAGAGGTCATTGATTTAAATACTTTGAAATATTTAAATACAACCTTCATCTTATCACTGAATTATTCTTCTAGGAAACTGGAGCGTGAGTTATAAACCCCAAGATGAAAGATTCAGATATTTGGAATATGAACATTTTTCCTACTGGCAAGGCTGGAGAAATGCTGGCACTCAGATATATGAGAATCAGAACTATGAGGGAACTGTTAATGAGGTAGATTCCAAAGACCTAAAGCATCAGGACTTTTCCCATTGTCAAGAATGGTTAATCCTCTCCACACAGGTACCAGGGTATGGTAATTATGAATTGACTTTTGAAGGGAAACATCCCAGAAACTTATTATGTAAAAAGTTTATTATTCCTTGGCAGCCCTTAGAAACAAAACCCACTCAAGACTATAGAGAAACCTACACTAGTGATTCACATGTGTTTCATGGGAGCAGTTACCATCTTGACATATCCAGAAAAAATCTTTCTATGGAAAAAGAACAGAAGCTCATATTTCAGCATTCTTTTATCCCAGTGGAAGAAGCTCTTCCAGAGTACATTGGGGCTATATGCCAAAATGACCTGCTAAAAGATTCAGTGGAAGAGAAATACTGCGGATGTCATAAATGTAAGGAAATTTATTATTGGAACTCACAATGTATTCACCACAAGAGAAATCAACTTGGAGAAAAGTTCTATCAATGCTCTGTCAGTACAGCATGCTTCTCTCCTAGATCTGACTTATATAGACACTCAAGAATCCACATAGGAAAGAAGCACATAGGATGTGATGGAGTTGACAATAGCTTTAGTCAGAGCTCAGGAGTTCATTTGCATCAGAGAGCCTACACAGGGGAGATACCTTATATCTGTAATGCATGTGGCAAGAGCTTCAGGCAGATCTCTAGTCTTCACAGCCATCAAAGAGTCCACACAGAAGAGAAACTCTATAAATTTGAGTGTGATAAGGACCTCAGCAGAAATTCACTGCTTCACATTCAGAGACTTCACATAGGAGAGAAGCCTTTTAAGTGCGATCAGTGTGGTAAGTGTTTTAGTCGCAGTTCAGTATTGCATGTCCATCAGAGAGTTCACACAGGAGAGAAACCATATAAGTGTGATGAGTGTGGTAAGGGCTTCAGTCAGAGTTCAAATCTTCGAATTCATCAGTTAGTACACACAGGAGAGAAGTCCTACAAATGTGATGACTGTGGTAAGGGCTTTACACAGCGCTCAAATCTTCAAATTCATCAGAGAGTGCATACAGGGGAGAAACCTTATAAATGTGATGACTGTGGAAAGGACTTCAGTCACAGTTCAGATCTTCGCATTCATCGAAGAGTCCACACAGGGGAGAAACCTTATACTTGCCATGAATGTGGAAAGGGCTTCAGCAAGAGTTCAAAGCTCCACACTCATCAGAGAGTACATACTGGAGAGAAACCCTATAAATGTGAAGAGTGTGGTAGGGGATTCAGTCAGCGTTCACATCTTCTCATTCATCAGAGAGTCCATACAGGGGAAAAGCCCTATAAGTGTGATGACTGTGGAAAAGGCTTTAGCCACAGCTCTAATCTTCACATTCATCAGAGGGTCCATACAGGAGAGAAGCCTTATCAATGTGCTAAGTGTGGAAAGGGTTTCAGTCATAGCTCAGCTCTTCGAATTCATCAAAGAGTCCACACAGGAGAGAAACGTTATAAATGCCATGAGTATTATAAGGGATTTGATCAGAAGTCACATCTTCATAATAGTCACAGAAGAGAAACTTTATAAATTGTGTTCATTTAGTTAAATATCATTGACAAAATTTAACCTTTAAACCCAATAAATGTTGCTGAGAAGGGAAGCTTATAAATAACACAAATCCCAAGCAACATATGTAGTTTTGTAGTTTCACCTAACTCACATTAAAAAGTTTGCTTTAAGGGGACTTCCTTAAGTGGATTCCTATATATTTAGAATTAAATTTTATTTTTTTTACTATAGATATAATACATGGTCATTACACACACACACACACACACACACACACACACACACACATATATATATTTAAGGAGAAAACAATTCATTCTGGTCTTTTTTTCTTTGTATTTTAATGTGAATGAAATCATACTGTACCACTTTATATTTTCACTGACTTCAAAACATTACTTAAATTTGGGAACCAGCAGTTAGCGTAATGGCTATGTTGCTGGAATCCCACGTAGTCGACCACGGTTCGTGTCCCAGACCCGGTGGCTTAAAACTCACGCCGGGCGTGTATGCGTGTGTGCCCAAGATCCCAAGAGGAGAATGGAGGAGAAGGGATTGCAGCATGACCATCCCCCCTGGGGGGTGATTTCTTGCTTTCTGTCTCTCTGTTTCTCTCTGTCTGTCTAGTGAGCGCACACGCCCTATAGCGAAAACCTCTCCCCCCCTCAAAAAAAAAATTACTTAAATTTTGGTTTAATTAAATTAGCCATCCTTGAAACAGCATCTCCCAACTCCTGGGTAGAGTCCCTAGGGAGCCATAGAAAAGACAGAAAAATACAAATTGTGAAACTCAAACTGTTAGATAATCTGTTACCCAAATATGGGAGAATTAACTATAGATTTAGTAGAATTTAACTGTTTATGTAACAAAGGGCACCTAATAAAAGATAAAACATTGTATGACCCCATATCTGAGATGGTATATCTTAGAGATGTCAACTAGAAAACTCAGGAACCATTCTTCCGTTGTAGGAGTGCTGCACTTTTAGGTGCCACGGTACACTTTCATCTCTCCTTCTCTTGAGTTTTCTGCATTTATCATGTGTTCAAACACCAAGTAATAAGAAATAGAAGATTGTTCTTTAAGTAAGTATGGATAAAAGTTGATAGGAGTGATTGCTAGAAACTGAAGATATTCCAGTTTTTCAGAATCAAAGATCCAAGCAATAGAATTTTATTTAATCTCAGTTGAACACAGTGGTAATAGAGAAATGTCTACTAGAAACAAAACTGAATTCCTAGCTGTGTGATGAATCTTCAAGGTAATTATACAAGAAGAGAGTTTGGCCATTGTAAAATAAGGAATAGGATTACACAAGTCCCAACCTGATGTGCAAATATGTTTAGATGATACTACCCAAGAGAAAAAAAAAATTGAGTAGACTTGTTTAGGGAAATAAAAGGGAATTTCAGGCCTGCTCTGTGGTCTGGCCAATAAGGCAGCCAGATCCCACATGACCAATTGTTTGAGTCCTCAATCTGGCAACTTGGGTGACATGCTGGGTACATGTGAATGTGTGCCCACAATCCCAAAAGGAGGGAGAGATAGAGGGTAAAGGATTGTGGTATGACAACTCCCCATGGAGGGTGCTTTCTCTTTTCCTTCTCTGTCTCTGTCTCTCTGTCTCTCTCTGGCCAAAAAAAAAAAAAAATGGGGGAGGGGATGTTGAGGGGAGGATGATGCAATACCAGGGAAAAGAATATCATTCTGAAGGCTTAGCTATAGCCCTGAAAATGAGTTAATTCAGAATCCAGAGGAAAGTTTCCCCCAAAAATGTTCTCCTCTGTAGCATATAGGAAGCCTGAACTCAATGAAACTAGAATCCGTAAGTATGTAGAAAAGAGCCTCTAAAATAGACACAGAGAAGCATGGGACAAGATGAGAGAAAGTCAAAGTTAGCAAAATAGGTTAAATGCCTCATTAAAAATTTGAAAATGCCAATCGAGTTAAATGTTTAATATGCTATTGCAAACAAAAGGATAAAAACAAAATAATGTTAAATATAAAAGATTAAGTGAAATTTATTAGGCAAACAAGGAGTATCTATAATACATTTCTTTTCTTCTAAGAACTGTTTATTTAATTTTCTTATTATTTAATTTGACCAGAGAAAGACAGCTGGAAGGTGAAACAACAAGCCATCAGGTCTGGAACTTGAACTGCAATCAGCCAGGCATGTGGGAGTCCAGCACCTTAACCACCATGCCACCTGCCGGCTCCATATAATATGTTTCTTTAAAGTTAATTAAACATTGGGACTGGCAGGTGGCAGGGTGGTTAAGGGTGCTGGACTCTCACATGGCCAACCATGATTCAAGTCCTGGACCTGGTGGCTTACTTTTTCACTTTCTCTCTCTCTCTCTCTCTCTCTCTCATCTGTATCTCTCTGGTCAAGTTAAAATAAATAAATAAACAAATAAATAAACATAAAATAATTTTTAAAAATTAATTGAATTACCCATTAAGGTGGATAAAAATGTAAAATCAGTACTTTCCTAAATTCTTGTATAATCAGAAAATATAATGGGTGGGGAAGAATCTGGCTTATAATAATGCTAAAAATTTTCAAAAAATAACAATGCACAATAAATAATGAAAACAATTTTAATTGAGAAACATAAAGGAGAATTTGAAGTCTTAAAGTTTTCCTAGAAGAAATATTCCTAAGTTAATTTATAGATTTATTTTAAATCTCATGAAAAATAAAGAGAATAAAAATGTAAAGAAATTTGAATTTTTTAAAGAAATAGATATTGGAGAAGCCCAAAGATAATTATAAGAAAGATTAATGAGATGACACAGATTAGTAAATGACACAGTGAAGTTATAATATTAGAAAACTTGGTTGTTTATTTAAAAAAAAATAGAATTCTTAGTGTTACCAAATAGCTTAGACATACACTGATGCACAGATTATATGGGTATATATAATTAGTACATATGCTTATATTCTTCACATATGTTGAAGATCTATGAATAGGAGGAATATTAAGTAAATGAATAATTTCTGAGGTAATCATTTAACTCTTTGGTGAAAAAGTAGAATTAGGCTTTCATCTCATGATCTACATGAGAATAAAGCACATATGATGAATAATTTTAAAGCTGTGTTCAATGGACTTTTATATGGTTTCATGAAGACTAGTACCTCAGAAACCAAAACCATAAATTTAGCCAATTTTTATTTGACTCATAAAAATAAGACTTCATTATTTTTAAGGAGGTTCCACTACATAAAATGTTTAAAATTCACTATAATTTTTTTTAGTTTTTTTCATTAAGCATGAGCACATGCCAGAGAGACCGTGAGAGAGAAAGTGAGATGTCACACTGCAATCCCTTCTCCTCCATTCTCCTGGGATTTGGGGCAGGCACACACATGTGTCCACAATGACTTTTCAAGCAGCCAGGTCTGGGATTCAAACTGTGGTTGGCCATGTGGTCGTCTAGCACGTTAACCCCCATGCCACCTGCTGGCCCCTAGAGTACATTTTTTAAGGTTGAAAATACACAAACACTTGATCTATTCTTTCCTGTAGTAATTCGATATCTAGTGATAGATCCTATGGGAAGAGTTTCACACTAGTAGGAAACTTTATTTAAAAAAAAATTTAATTGTATTTATTATTATTATTTTTAAATTGCTACAGGTCATACATACTCACCAGAGAGAGACAGAGGGAGAGAGAAAGTGAGAAAGTAAGCCGCCATATCTGGACTTGAACCGTGGATTGGCCATATGCAAATTCAGCGCCCCAACCATCACACCTGCTGGCCCCAGTAGGAAACTTCTAATTACAAAGAATAGAGATTCACTCAAGTTATCTCATGTAAAGAATAAATCTAAAAAATACAAAACAAAGCAAAACAAAACAAAAAACAACAAGAAATATCAACAGGGGAACTTGCACTGGAAAGCCATTTGACAATGAAGCTTCTTGAAGTGTGTGTGTATGTGTGTGTGTCTCTGTATGTTTGCTATAGAATGTGTGCACTTGCAAGAGAGAGACAGAGAGAAGGGAAATCTCCCTCCCCTGGCAATGGGGTAGTCACACTACAATCCCTTCTCCTCTATTCTGTTGGGATTTTCAGCATGCACGCACATGTGTACAATGTGTTTTTCAAACTGCTTTTGGCACTCAAACTGTTTGCACCATTGGCCATGTGGGATCCAGCTGCCTTAATCTTCACAACAACTGCTGGCCCTGAAGAACTTTTTTCTGTTTCTTTTGGGTGTCCTCTTTCCTCTCTGCATGACTTACAATTGCTACCGCATTCCTGAATATATACACATATATGCATATATACACATATATAGCATTCTCAACTACATAAAAGTACACACAAGATCATTGTTCAATGTATTTATTATAGTATTTTAATGCTGTTCTCCTAATAGAGTAATGGTTAAATAAATTATGATGCATCTATATGATGGAATATTATTCAGTCATTAACATTTACATTTCTGAAGAATTTCGCAATGATAGGAATGTACTTATGGTAAGTGAAAAGTACAAGACACTGAAATGTATATGAGGTATGAGTCTATTTATATATATTTATATAAATATTGCCATGGGGGAAATATTGCATATATACAAAAATGTTCTAAGTCTCTTTGATAGGATGGATTGGGATTATGTTCTTCATGCTTTTCTGTATTTTTTTACATGTTTATTGCTGTCTATTTTTATAACAAAAATAAAAATTACTTTTTAACATACAACTTATTTAAAATGTTAGTGATAGTATGATATTCCATTGTGTTGCTGTACCATAATAATCATCTCCATATTGTAGGAATTAAGACTGTTTTCATTTTTATATTATGAATGGAACATCCATAGGATGTATGAAATTTTCCACTATTGTAGATAATTTTTAAAAATAATTTCTACAATGGAATTACTGGATTAAAAGGTAAGATGAAGAAAGTATAATTTGTGCAAAAATATGGAATGATGAAATTCCATGATGTGTATAGTCAACAAGTAGCCTGGCTGTTGGAATATAAAAGTGTGTGAGAGGTTAGAAGGTGACCAGATCAGGAAGGATGACTTCTTTGCCAAGCTGAACAATTTCTATTGGTTGTGGAGAAGCATTGAGCAATATTGAGTGGATAAGTAACACTATATTGAAAAGATTACTTTTTTACAGGCCAAGCATGTGCCCAAGCACAGGATCGTGACAGGAAGGAGAACTGAAGGAAAGGGGATTGCACATAACAAGACCCATTGAGGGGGAGATTCCTCTCTCTCTCTCTCTCTCTCTCTCTCTCTCATCTGTACCTCTCTGGTCAAGTTAAAATAAATAAATAAACAAATAAATAAACATAAAATAATTTTTAAAAATTAATTGAATTACCCATTAAGGTGGATAAAAATGTAAAATCAGTACTTTCCTAAATTCTTGTATAATCAGAAAATATAATGGGTGGGGAAGAATCTGGCTTATAATAATGCTAA